TAATTTGATAATCAAAAATATCTTGGCTGATAATCAGCAAATGCTTTCTGTATTGCAGATAGATTAATGAATGCGGCTTTCAATTAAAATAAAATGTAAATACATTAGTACTATTATATAATATAATCAATGTTTATTTAAGTCTATTAATTGGTTGAATTGACTAATAACCAATACAGAATCAAACAACTTTTAACTGACAGTATAGCTGGATGCTGCAAACTGACCAGTGAAAGAATATTTTGTGAAATTGCTTATAACACTGGCAGTAGAATTTATGTCCAACAAAAAGCTTAAACCATTATTCTTGAAGTTTGGGAATTTAGTATGTTTTTGGCCAATAAAGACATTTTATTAGTAAATATTCCATGAAATCTATTATTAATTGTTTCAAATCTTTTTACAGCTCAGTTAAGTATATTAGTATAAGTACCTATTTTGAATAAACGCTTCACATGTAGTTGTAAGAAAGACAGTCCAGGACTGACCAGGATGGGTGGTGTGAAAAATATAGCTCGAACCTATGTACAATTGTGGCAACCTATGTACAATTGTGGGGTAAAAAATTAGGACAATTTCTAACACGTTAATATTGCATGCTATTCTAATGACAATAGGTGCTAAGCATCCTAAATGTAATACCAGTGTTCTGCCTTGTCGACGATATGATGCATTGAATTGTTGCTAGTTTTCTTTACCGCATGGAGTGTAATAGTTTACATCATGCGATTTAAAAACAAATGGAAACCTGATTAATGTAACATTATTAAACATGTTGGTTGAATTGAAAGGATTCGAACCCATGGAGTGCAATTGGAAATATCTGCTCTCAGAGTCATACAGGTCTCACGATCTTGATGGTCACTATTGTATTGGGCATATGTTTTCGGCGCGTTGGTTGGTGGCTGCCCCCGGGGGACCCTCGCCCACTTTGCGGCCCTCCAACCTTTCAGGACCATAATATTGAAAATTGATTAAAAAAAAAAACGTTGGGGTTATGGAGTTCAATTATTATTAAGATGAGTGCTGAAAAATGTGCAGCGAGTTGCATACTTTTACTAAATATGACGTATATATTAATCAATTTTTTATTTTTTGTGGGAAATGAAGGTTATTGAATTAAAAGCATATACCAAATATTAAAACATGTTTCAAATGAAAAATACTGCATTTTACATGGTTTTGGGGGGTGGGAGGGTTGTGGGGTGGGTGGCCGATCAGCGCGCCGAACACCTATGGCATAGAGTGGTTCAGGAAATGTATATTTGAAAAGTTGATGTGTTGATGCATAATTTATAGTTCAGTTGATTGAATGCACTTATTGTATACATGTATCTAGCACATATTTGAAGCAGTTTGAACGTTATTGCTAAATTAATATCTCGAAAAAATGCACCGTCAAATGTATATACATTTAGCTAGCACATATTTGGAGCAGTTTAAATTGAATGCTTTTGCTAAATTCATGTCAGGAGAAATGACACTGAACTCGAGATCTTGGTGGTTACTACCCAAATTATTGTGTTTCAGATAGTGTCATATTTGATTTATGAGCGCTAGTATATGCATATTTGTTGGAATGCTGCTTTATTTGCTAAGTTGAATTACCTACATGGCAGTGTTGTATTATGAATCATAGAATGGCTGGGCACGACTAATTTTTTTCAAGTATTCAATTCGCCGGAGCCAATAATAGTATGATATTGGCGAAGCCAATATTATATGTTATTGGCGGAGCCTTCGACTGGAAAACGGGAAATCTCCCGTTCACCATCCGAAGTCTAGTGGCGGCCGGCGAATAGACATTTTGTGATACTGGCGATACTGGTTTCTGCTTCCCAGAACCAATTTCGCGCAACAGTGTCAATGCTGTGTTGTTGCTCATATACATTTGTGAAAATTGACTATTTTGTGAATGAAGAATTGAAAGACTAGTATTGCTTTGATCAATTATTTTCTAGAACATACTGTTCCAAAAAGCTATACAGTTTGTTCCATTTGCTTGTTTTGATTTTGTGTCATTTGTTTGTTTTGCTATGGATGCCCTAACAGGGTTTTGTATGCCCGGTATCCAAACCTTTTGGCTTTTATTAATGGAGTCGTGCCCATAAAATGCCAAAGATAAACTAAGACATTACTCAGTGAGATAAATTACATATGCCACTATGTATGACTATAAAATAAAATTAGTTAAAGTATGATATTGTTTTGTTGTTGTCCCAAATAATGATGACTATTTCTATAGAATAGTCTCTGTTATTTGGGGAACAACTTATACCCTGCCCTGGTTATGACGTAGGTACTGTATCTACGTCATATCCTTTTAACGCTGGCGTCGAATATTGTAACAAGGAAGAAATGAATTGTTGAAAAAACCCACCCGCCCTCCTCGGTCAATTATGAGTGTGAAGTGTCAAAGACTTGAGCTTAAATTTAATATTAGTGTCCTGCTTTTTTGTTGTTTCTGTCCTCTTTTGATATGTTTTCAGATTAGCCAACATAAGCGACGTGTTTCAAGACAGCTAGCCCTACTAAATACCACGGAAGAGGTATCTTTTAGGAAAACTGCTTGGGCCAAAACCACCAGCAGAGAGAATTCGACAACGGTGCGACTCCAGAGATGTGTTCTATGAACTTTCAAATACTAGATTTCACATGTTGTGTCTGCTAAATTTGCATTTTGCGGCCGGCGAATAGACATTTTGTGATACTGGCGATACTGGTTTCTGCTTCCCAGAACCAATTTCGCGCAACAGTGTCAATGCTGTGTTGTTGCTCATAAACATTTGTGAAAATTGACTATTTTGTGAATGAAGAATTGAAAGACTAGTATTGCTTTGATCAATTATTTTCTAGAACATACTGTTCCAAAAAGCTAAACAGTTTGTTCCATTTGCTTGTTTTGATTTTGTGTCATTTGTTTGTTTTGCTATGGATGCCCTAACAGGGTTTTGTATGCCCGGTATCCAAACCTTTTGGCTTTTATTAATGGAGTCGTGCCCATAAAATGCCAAAGATAAACTAAGACATTACTCAGTGAGATAAATTACATATGCCACTATGTATGACTATAAAATAAAATTAGTTAAAGTATGATATTGTTTTGTTGTTGTCCCAAATAATTTTTGGAGATTAATGAACCAATGGATGTAGAACTAGACTAGCTGGTGTTCAAACTATCAGATCATTTGCTTACTTCCTTTTTTTTGCAGAATGATTCTAATTGTGAAAATTGATCCGAAATTAAGAAATGCATTGCAACGCTGTTAACTCAAACGTGGCTAAGAATATTATAAGATATACGGTTTATTTTAAATTCATTTCTGAGTATATAACTACATTATCTTTTGGACCTCAGTAGAATCTCTTTTTTATAAAAAGCCAATTGTAAACAATGTAGTTACTTGATTGCAATACAAATTATAAATTACTAATACTCTATTGTCAAAAAGCAACAGCAGTATATAATGGTTCAGGTAAACGGCTATTTAGCATTTATTTACTTTTGAAACTATAACAGCACACCAAAATAGAAATATAATCAAAAGCATTTTCGGGCATAATGGGCCTTTAATATTTTTGTACTTTTATAGTATCCAAAAAGTGACTAATTGGCCAATTACCTGAATTATTTTTTCCATCTGTTCCTCTTTGGCAATAGGTACAGTTATAGTGAATTAATATTTTATAGTTTACATTATGCAACTTTAATAACATTTTTTTATTTATCGCTACTTTCTCCAGGTAACAAACATCTAACGTTCTCTAAGACCATTATCTAAACATTAAAAAAATGCCGTTTGTATGGGGGCTGACTTGTGCCATTCGTGTTTTCGCCCCGCGACCCCGCCTAGCGAAAAGTCGAAAATCAACAAGTTAAAACAAGTAAAATGGTTTCCTGCGGGGAACATTTTTAATGATATAAAGATATTTCATTTAACTATTTTCAACATTATTTGGAGGGGGATAAATAAACGTTTGTATCAGGAATATAGTTGACAATAATAAATCAATATAGAAGAAGGTCTTTGGAAACTGGTGACCGTTGATGACCGGAGAAGGTCGTACATGAAACAATTATTTCTTTTTAAGAAAATGATTAAATAGGCCTACAATTTTATGAATAATTCCGAGCAAAAAAACAACAAAGGAAACACACAAGACTACGCAGAAAATATCTCTATTATGGCAGATGCCACTACGAATATTTTAATTTTGTAGATTTTCAGTATAAACAATTTATTGTTTGTAAAATTTGAGATACATATTAAAGAAACATTAATAATTTTGCAAGCACATCATTCAAGTTTTTCCACCTTTAACGGTAAAATGATTATAGAAAATTAGAAATATCACGTAATAGTTTTTTGTTCTTAATTAGGTGTAATTCTGACTAATTCCCTAGAGGTAAATCCGTAACGTACCGGCAAACGGTATTTAGCCAGGTTTTCGAAAAGGTCAATTAACCAATCATGTACGGTTTACAGATCACATGCCCCTCCATATACCGAAAACAGGTCACGTGCTCCTCCATGCCTCAAAAGTTAAACGCGTACCAATACCCTGCGGTCTCCAGACCGCAGGGAATGATGGGGGCGCAGAGCGAAAACACGCTTATTAGCGATAGATAGGTAGATACTTTTATTTCCTCCTATATTTGAAGAGCTGAACACACGCTAATTAGCGTGGTCGGGGCGCTAATTAGCATGTTTTCGCTCCGCGCCCCGCCGTTTTATTTCCTAAAATCTCGCTCCAAGCCCGGGGCTAAGTTTTCAGGGAAGTTTTTTCTAAAACTTCGCCCCGCACCCTCGCTAATTAGCGATTTTTCGCTCCTCGACCCGCTATTTTAATTTGTTAATTTTCGACATTTCGCTTGGCGGGGTCGCGGGGCGAAATCACGAATGGCACAAATCAGCCACCATACGCTTGCTCTTTTTTAAGAAGTAAAAATTCTTTATTTTTTAGACATAATGTGCCTCTAACAATATTTTTAACACCAGATTCTGAAAAAGTTATACACGACCAATCCAAACCATATATGCAGATGAGATTTTCCTTGTCGAACAAGTACAATGATGTCGTGAAAGAAGAGGCAGCGTTTGTATATTCAGTGAAACAGGAATTGGCCATTTTAACAAACTTCTCAGAAGCCAGCTTTCAAAACATGAAGGTGCAAAAAGGTATATTTCTGATTCAACAAAATATACATGATTTTATTTTATAAATGAAATGATAATAATATTTTTATTAAGAGAAGGTTACACATTAAGAATATACAACAGCAATCATATATATTATATCTCTTAATTCAAATGTGGCCTTCTTAAATAGAAAAAAAACAACAACAACAGAACAGGCATATAGGGACAAAAATATAATGACTTAAAACATTTACTCGTATAATGTGTAATTTTTAGAATAAGATAACTCAATTTGTTTTTTTAACTATTTTATCAAAGTGGTTGGTTTATTCATATACTTTCGACAGACACTCAACTTTATAATTTGATTAAACATATAGCTATATTGAATGATTCATTCATTCATTCATATTAACATCAAGATTTCTTTAAAATGCATATTTCAAATTTTCCGTAATTTCTTTGTAAATATTTATTTTCATTGCAGTGGAACATATTTTCCGAATTTTCACTGGTGTCTTGTCTGACTACTTTCTTCTAAATTTAGCCAATACAAAAATTAAAGAAAATTCTTTCAAATCATTAAGTCAAAATAACGAAAATTATATATTAAACACACAAAATTCAATTTTTACACTTCCATCGTCTCTAATTGTGCCAAATTATTTCTTTTCTCTTTTTCAGCGGTTTAAATGTTATGGAGCAGATACAAAATGTAAACTTTTTAACACTTGACCTTTAAGTGTGACCTTGACCATTGGAAAGCAACCCAATTATTGAGCTCTGCATTTTTTTTTATCAAAAAATCACGCGGGATTAGTTGTGTTCCACCTGCGGATAAATTGGTAACTAAATCGGCGTTTAAACTTAACTAAAATCGGCGTTAAACCTTACTAAATTCGGCGTTTAAACCTTACTTAATTCAATCGGCGTTTGTAGAGATTCTTCATGGTGTTGTGCATGTCGTCTATGACATGTAATTGTAGAAAGATGACAATTTGAAAAGAAAAACCAACACCATACTGTTCAATCATATAGACACCAAAATGACACTTGTCACACATTTAAACGGCACCCAGCGGGACACGGTAAGGGGAGGTGGGAGTTAGATAATTAAAAAATAAACAGGGACAGCGATCCGAATAACTTCTCAATAGATAAAAAATAATAAAAGTACATGATTTTGAATTTTATGTTTTACAGATCCATTACAAGTAGAGTTGGAACTTCATTCGACAGATGGCGATTTAAAGAAGCTGAGTAAAATGTTGGAGACGATAGACATGTTATGTGAACATGGCTTGGAGATGACGACTGAAGATGGCAGTGAACTGACAATAATAGCAGGTAGCTTACAGTATCACGTGATGTATACAGGACATGCAGGTGATTATATGCTTGCTTTACACTATATATAGTCCATCATAAATAAATTATTTATAGCTTAATGATATGTTTAGTTCTGCATTAGCCGGTGCTAGGGGGGACATGGGAGGTAGTTTAAATATGACATATGTAGTTTAAGCTGGCTTGTAAGTTCTTCCAAGAAAATAGTTCATGTTATTTTTCGAGAAAATGTTTCATATATTATTTTCCGATAAAATGTTTCATATATTTTTGTACGAAAAGATATTTCATATATTATTTACCAAGAAGATGTTTCATATATTAATATGCCAAAAAAATATTTCACATATTATTTTCCGAGAAAAAAGTTTCATATAATGTTTTACGAGAAAATGTTGCATATATTATTGTACGGAAAAAAAACATTATATTTTACAAGAAAAGATTTCATATATTATTTCCGAGAAAATGTTTCATATATTATTTTCCAAGAAAATATTTCATAAATGATTTTCCGATATGTTTCATATATTAATTATTGTACTGAAATATTTCAAATATCATTTTCGGAGGTATTATTTCAGATTTTATGTTCCGAGAAAATGCATCATATACATGTATTATTTTCTTCAAGCAAAGGTGGTTGTATATATGATGTTGGCAATATTAGTAAATAAAATCATGATTTTATGTGATTAGTTTATAGGTTTGTCTATAGTGAGTTTTAAATATCCGAAAAAAATCACCTTTGCATCAGTTTTATTTAGGTGTTTAAAAACAGAATATTTAAGACTTGATAATGGAATGAATTTTTCTTTTTTTAACGTTTGACTACGGCATTGAACGTTACTCTTCAATTGAATTTTATTCAGAAGTATTTTGTATTGTTACAGGTGCCTTGCTGTATAGCCCTATGCTTGTTGCAGTCTCCCTGCTTGCCATTGCGATGTCAAATTTGTATTAAACATGGAGTAACTTCTAGGAACTGTAATAAGCTTCAAAAAGACACAGATTATTGAATTTTGGCGAGTTTGTGATCGATGTGGTCTGCTTTTGTTGTGATCCTAATTCAGCTCATATTTGAAAACATATTGGCGTGTACAACATCGGAAACACTTTGTTCTTTAGAATTTCACAATTAAAACGAAACAAGAGAGTCCATATGTTTTCCTTTTGGAGAGAAATGATTTTTGTTTTGTCTGAATAACAATATACTGATGTATTATTATGTGCTTTTTAGAGCTGATCTTTTTACTTTCACTCTTTCTACAATATACTTAATTAAACTTTTCTGAAAAGTTTCGGTTTTGTTTTCAATAAAAGCCTCCAGCATGCTGACTGTCCTAAAGAAGTTTCCCTGCCTGATGTACATGTATAGAGCTACGCTGCATTGATAATGATCTAAATAAATGACTGCTAGGGACTTTGGTCCTTTCATAAGAGGAATATATCCCAGGTCGAGCATTCAACTTCGGTGCCAACTTGCGCATGAAATAATGAGCGAAAGAACAGCTGAGGTCTTTCTTCATTAGAAAAGCTGGAAAGTCGCCTTATGTCCGTAACAATATTTCATATATGGACCTTGTAATTTCAATTCTTTACCCGATACCAATTTTTAAAGATTTAGATAATTCGCTCAAAAGAGTAGCATGTCGGAATTAAAGGAATTGTCGAAAATAACTAAGATCAAAATGATATTATTGTGATTTTTTTATTTCTTTATTGTTAATTAAATTAATTTGACAACCAAAGTGGAAAAACAATAAATAAACAATCCACTCAACAACCACTGTAAAGACAGGAATGCGGGTAGTCCACATCAAAATCGATTCACAATATCAGAAGTCCCTAAAATAAACAATTAAAAATCACAATTCTAATATGCACGTTTGCATTACAGCGTGTGCAAAAACATCCATTTAGTTATACATAACTGAAAATATGTCTTTCACTGAATTCACATTAGAATATAAGTTCGCATTCACAACACAATGGAATACAAGTTTTAGAGTTAAAATTGATTAAATGTTGGTGAACATTAGAAGGCGTTGGTATCACGTTGGTTGTATTTTAAAAACAAAACTTAGCTTTATTTTACGGTATAAAACCGCTATTTAAAGCCATAAGTAGATTCTGCATGTATTGTAACATCCCTGTACATAAAAGTTTCCTTTCGTTCGTAAAAATATGCCTTAATTATTGCGTATTTATAAAAACAACAACAATGTTGAACTTACGTGTTTAAGATTTAGCACCAGTAAGTGCTGCAGCTTTCTCCTTCCTCTCTCTCAAAATATCATCACGAAGTAATTCTGCCATAATTTCTCTTTCCTCGGCTGTGTAAGTTATCTAATAATAATATATAGAAGTCATGTGAACTTCAAGTTTAATAATAAAAAAACAACAGAATATAAATGTTATTTCAAATTCTCTTTCCAAATGATTCAAAATGAAAACAAAAATGAGGTATGAAAAGATGGAAATACATTGTAACTGGAAATAAATAAAGATATTTTGATATCCAACCCGAGTGAATCTAGATATAACAATCATATCTTTCCTCTAAACTGTAAACAATATAATTATATATAATTTTATGTAATTTCTACGCCATATTATTTTATTGTACAATGTATATAACTCGAACATTTAAGTATGTCGAAAAAAACTTAATTTTCAAATTAAGCGTAACAGTTTAATTCTGACAGTTGGAAAAATGTTAAATTATTTTAGTCAATCAATCCATTAAAAAATCAGCCATAAACGGATGGTACCTCAGTGTTGTCCGTGGTTGGTGAGACAGTTCCGTTAAGCCTGTCAGCTAGTCTTGAAGGCATTCTTGTTGGATCCCCTTCCTGGAAATCCACAGTGAATGAAACGCCAGCTGTGCCTAGTTTAGAATCTTCAGCATTTGCTACAATATAAATATTACACTGCATTAACGTTTTTATACGTTAAAAAGTTCAGATGTACTCAAGCTTTTTACAGTTTAAAGGCACATTGTGTCTCTTTTTCTACTTCCTTAGAAAGGGCAATCATGAATTTGATAGTGTTAAATTATGGTTTTAGAGATTGTTAGATGCTTGTTATCTGAAAAAATAGCGATAAATATGAAATTATTTGTCATAAAAGTATAAAGAAATTTGTTATAGGATCAAATCTTTATTGAAAAATTGAATAGATTCTAGTTGTTATTGTTTTCCTATGTTTTGTGTTTGTGTTTCTATATATTGTTTAAAGGCCGCATTTATAATTGTTTTCTACGATTGGACATCTTCATATGTTATCTTCTTTAAATAAAGATATTATAATTATGATTATGATTATGATTATGATTATGGTTATAGTTATAGTTATAGTTATAGTTATAGTCATTGTCATTGTCATTGTCATCGTCATCGTCATCATCATCATCATCATCATTATTATTGATAATAATAATAATAATAATAATAATAATAATGATAATAATAATCACAATCACAATCACAATAACAATAACAATAACAATATCAATAACAATAACAATAATAATAATAATAACAATAATAATAATAATAATAATAATAACAATAACAATAACAATAACAATAATAATAACAATAACAATAATAATAATAATAATAATAATAATAATAATAATAGTAATAGTAATAATAATTATAATAATAAAAACATGAAAATTTTATTCTATATATAATCTTTAAAAGATTACAATTATATAATTAACTTCCGTACCTTCTTCGAGATCTTTGATCATATCTTCTGGAGCTTTACGTGTTGCTCTGCTAGATTTATTTCCGTATTCCGGAGACGGACAAACTGAGTTCCGTTTTGGATTTTTCTTTCCAAGACATGTACCCATTCTTATTTTAATTACAAGTAAGAATTAAATAATAAAATGCTCGCTGAGTTGTTTTTCTTGTCAAAGTAAACTGTGACGTTCTGATCATAGAAACGACGTTGAATATGACGTCATAAACGACGTCTAAAACACGTCACAATGAATCTACGTTTATTTTAGAAATACTTGTTTTTGAATGGTCAACTGTAAATGAGCTTCAGAAAGGCACATAATTATATAATGGACTTTCGTCGGGAAAGCGGACAATGTCTTCTGCTTTTTGTTGTGATCCTCATGTATATCACATCAGCTCATATCTAAGTACATGATGACTTGTACAGGATCGGAACCACTTTGTTCTGTAGAAATTCACTATAAAAAATCAAAACTATAGATTTCTAATGTTTCCCTTTGAGAGTGTTTCCCAGTGGTTCTAACTTGCGACTGAAATATTGAGCGAAGGGACAACTGAGGTCTTCCTCCATCAAAAAAGCTGCGAAGTCGTCATATGTCCGTAACTATATCGGTGGTACTTAAAACCCGACAATTGTTTAGTTGAATGATCGAATTGGTTGGTTGATTGGTTGATTGGTTGATTGGTTGATTGATTGATTGATTGATTGATTGATTGATTGATTGATTGATTGATTGATCGATCGATCGATCGATCGATCGATCGATCGATCGGCCGGCTGGCTGGCTGGCTGATATGTTGTCAACCTGTTGGTCTTCAAAAGGTTGTTTATATAAAAAAAAACAGGACAACTTTTGTGTCACGGTTCAGAACTGTTCAAATATGAGCAGTGCAACAACGCTACTTTCAATCATAATATCACATACTTGAATTACTTTGTCATTGTACTTCTAATAAAAGGTGAACTCCAATCGTAACTTGTCGATTCTTCCCTTCAAACTTTAGATAAGTACTATTACGACTAATTGACGAGATACAATTTGTCCCGCCTATCTTTGTTCGTATGTGGACCTAGTAATTTCAATTTTTTACTTATTCTTAAGGATTTAAATAATTAATTCAAAAGAGTAGCATGTCGAGATGAAAGGAATTGTCAAAAATAACTAAAATCAAATTGTTATAACTGTGATTTTTTTCATTTATTTTCAATCAAATTAATTTGACAAACAAAGTTGAATAACAATAAATAAAAGATCCACTCAACATCCGCTGTAAAGACAGGAATGCGGGTAGTCCGCATAAAAATCGATTCACAATATCTGAAGTCCCTGAAATATACAATTAGAAATACGTATGCGTTACAACGTATACAAAAACATCAGTTAGTTATACATAACTGAAAAAATGTCTTTTACTAAATTTACAATCGAATATAGGTTCGCATTCACAATGGAATACAAGTTTTAGAGTTAAAATTGATTAAATGTTGGTGAACTTTAGAAGGCGTTGGTATCACGTTGGTTGTATTTTTAAAAACAAAACTAACCTTTATTTTACGGTATAAAACCGCTATTTAAAGCCTTTAGTAGATTCTGCATGTATTGTAACATCCCTGTACATAAAAGTTTCCTTTCGTTCGTAAACATATGCCTTAATTATTGCGTATTTATGTGACTGTGTGTTTTGATAAAAACAACAACAATGTTGAACTTACGTGTTTAAGATTTAGCACCAGTAAGTGCTGCAGCTTTCTCCTTCCTCTCTCTCAAAATATCATCACGAAGTAATTCTGCCATAATTTCTCTTTCCTCGGCTGTGTAAGTTATCTAATAATAATTTATAGAAGTCATGTGAACTTGAAGTTTGATAAACAAACAACAGAATATAAATGTTATTTCAAAATCTCTTTCCAAATGGTTCAAAATGAAAACAAAAATGAGGTATGAGAAGATGGAAATAACTTGAAATAAAAATATTTTGATATCAGAAAGTTATGCTCTAGATATAACAATCATATCTTTCCTCTAAACTGTGAACAATATAATTATATACACTTTTAATTTCTACTCCATATTACTTTATTGCACAATGTATATAACTCAAAAACTGAGTATTCAAGACAACTTGGTCATTTAATTATGTCGAAAAAACTTCATTTCAAATTAAGCGTAACTGTTTTATTCTGACAGTTGGAAAAAAGTTGAATTTATTTTAGTCAATCTCGTTAAAACAATCAGCCATAAACAAATGATACCTCATTGCTACCCGTGGTTGGTGAGACAGTTCCATTAAGCCTGTCAGCTAGTCTTGAAGGCATTCTTGTTGGATCCCCTTCCTGGAAATCCACAGTGAATGAAACGCCAGCTGTGCCTAGTTTAGAATCTTCAGCATTTGCTACAATGTAAATATTTTACTGCATTAACTTTTTTTAATCGTTAAAAAGTTCAGTAGTACTTAAGTTTTTAAATGTTTAAAGGCACATTGTGTCTCTTTTTCTACTTTCTTAGAAAGGGCAATCATGAATTTGATATTGTTGAAATTATGGTTTTAGAGATTGTTAGATGCTTGTTATCTGAAGAAACTAGCGATAAATGTTCAATAATTTGTCATAAAAGTATAAAGAAATTTGTTATAGGATCAAATCTTTATTGAAAAATGGAATAGATTCTAGTTGTTATTGTTTTCCTATGTTTTGTGTTTGTGTTTCTATATATTGTTTAAAGGCCACATTTATAATTGTTTTCTACGATTGGACATCTTCATATGTTAACTTCTTTAAATAAAGATTATTATTATTATTGTTATTGTTATTGTTATTATTATTATTATTGTTATTATTATTATTATTATTATTATTATTATTATTATTATTATTATTTCTTTATTATTATTATTATTATTATTTCTTTATTTTATTATTAATAAAATGAAAATTTTATTCTATATATAATCTTTCAAGATTAAAATTAAATAATTAACTTCCGTACCTTCTTCGAGATCTTTGATCATATCTTCCGGAGCTTTACGTGTTACTCTGCTAGATTTATTTCCGTATTCCGGTGACGGACAAACTGAGTTCCGTTTTGGTTTTTTCTTTCCAAGACATGTACCCATTCTTATTTTAATTACAAGTAAGAATAAAATAATGAAATGCTAACAGAGTTGTTTGCTTGTCAGAGACGAAAGTAAACAGTGACGTTCTGATTATAGAAACGACGTTGAATTTGATGTCACTAACGACGTCTAAAAACACGTCACAATGAATCTACGTTTATTTTAGAAATACTTGTTTCTGAATGGTCAACTGTCAATGAGCTTCAGAAAGACATAGATTATGGACTTTCACAATGTCTTCTGCTTTTTGTTGTGATCCTCATGTATATAAAATCAGCTCATATCTAAGTACATGATGACTTCTACAGGATCGGAACCACTTTGTTCTGTAGAATTTCACTATAAAAATCAAAACTATAGATTTCTAATGTTTCCCTTTGAGAGTGTTTCCAAGTGTTTCTACTCATGATGCCAACTAGCGCCTGAAATATTAAGCGAAGGGGACAGGTGAGGTCTTTCTCCATCAGAATAGCTGGAAAGTCGCCATATGACCATAATGATATCGGTGGTACTTAAAAACTAACAGTTAGTTGAATGATCGAATTGGTTGATTAATTGATTGATTGATTGATTGATTGATTGATTAATTGCTCACTTGATTGATTGATTAAATAATTAATTAATTGATTGATTGTTTATGTGTTGTCAACCAAAGGTTTTTTATTTTAAAAAAAAAACAGGACCACTTTTTGTGTCACGGTCAAGAACTGTTGGAACGGCTGTCAATCATAATAGCACATATTCGAATTATCTTGCCATTGTACTTCTAATAAACAGTGAACCTCAATCGCAACTTGTCGTTTCTTCCCGTCAAACTTATAAATAAATACTATTACGACTAATCGATGAGATACAATTTGACCAGCCTATGGCGAGCTTGATTCTTTGTTCTTAAAACATATATCCTTCATATGTATGTGGTACTTGTAATTTCAATTCTTAACCCGATACTAATTCATAAAGATTTAGATAATTCGCTCAAAAGACTAGCATGTCGGAATGAAAGGAGTTGTCGAAAATAACTAAAATCAAACAATTATTTATGTGATTTTTTCATTTATTTTCAATCAAATTAATTTGACAAACAAAGTGGAATAACAATAAATAAAAAAAATCACTCAACAACCGCTGTAAAGACAGGAATGCAGGCAGTCCACATCAAAATCGATTCACGATATCTGAAGTCCCTAAAATATACAATTAAAATCACAAATTTAATATAAACGTATGCATTAAAGCGTGTGCAAAAACATCATTTAGTTATACATAACTGAAAATATGTCTTTTACTGAATTCACAATAGAATATATATTCGCATTAACAATGGAATACAAGTTTTAGAGTTAAAATTGATTAAATGTTGGTGAACTTTAGAAGGCGTTGGATTCATTTTGGTGGTATTAAAAAGAAAAAAAACTAAATTTATTTTAACGGTATAATACCGCTTTTTAGATTATGCATGTATATACATGTATAAAAGTAACATGCCTGTACTTGATAGTTTTCTTTCCAAATATGCTGACAAGAATAAGCCTAAATTATTGCGTATTGATGCATGTACATATTTTGATAACAACAACAACATAGAACTTACGGTTTAAGATTTAGCACCAGTAAGTGCTGCAGCTTTCTCCTTCCTCTCTCTCAAAATATCATCACGAAGTAATTCTGCCATAATTTCTCTTTCCTCGGCTGTGTAAGTTATCTAATAATAATTTATAGAAGTCATGTGAACTTGAAGTTTAATAGATAATTAATGAAAACAAAAACGAATTATGAAAAGATGGCAAAAACTAACAATTTGAAATAAATTTGACATAGATAAAAAACATTTTGATATCAAAACCAAATGAAAAAATAGTTTTAAGCATTAATACTTCCTAAGGATAAAACATTTATATCTTTCCTTTAAATTGTAAACAATATAATACTTTCTTAATACAAATTTATATGAGCCGCGTCACGACAAAACCAACATAATGTGTTTGCGACCAGCATGGATCCAGGCTGTTCGTTTTTAGACCGTATAACAAGTAAAGAAACTGACAGCGAACAGCATGGATCTTGATCAGACTGTGCGGATGCGAAAGTTGGTCTGGATCCATGCTGGTCGCAAACCCATTATGTTGGTTTTGTCGTGACGCGGCTCATATAGTTTCTTCTTCAAATTACATTATTATACAATGTATATAACATGGTTATTCAAATCAACTTGATAATAAAAGCATGTCGGTAAAACTTGGTTTCAAATTAAGCGTATCAGTTTTATTCAGTTAAAAAATATTTATAGTCAAACAATTTCGTTAAAACAATCGGCCACAAACAAATGATACCTCATTTTTGTCCATGGTTGGTGAGACAGTCCCGTTAAGCCTGTCGGCTAGTCTTGAAGGCATTCTTGTTGGATCCCCTTCCTGGAAATCCACAGTGAATGAAACGCCAGCTGTGGCTAGTTTAGAATCTTCTGCATTTGCTACAATATATATAAATATAATACTGCAATTTCATGTTTGACATTAAAAGATTCAGATGTAATTAAGCTTTTAACACTTAAAGTACCATAGACCGACAGTTCCATTGTTGCTTTCTATCGTTTTACAATAAATGTTGACGGTACATTTCTTATTGTGTCCCTGATATGAAGTTCTTATACGGAGTTGAATTAAATACTTGATTTTAATGAACGAATGAATATAGAGAATAATAGGTTGGTGCCGTGGATGGAGAAAGTTTATCTGGCGAGGCGGAGGAATTTATTGGGTGAGCCGTAGGCGAACCCAATAGATTCCGAAGCAGAGCCAGATAAACTTTCTCCATCCACGGCACCAATCTATTATTCTATTTATCCTGTCACCGTTTTTATAAAGAATTTTATTAGGCAAACTACCTTTAATCACACTATCGGAAATGTTTCTATATAAACAAAGAAGGCCCGAAGCGTGCATTATTCTACAACAATGCACTCGCCGTTCTTATTATCTCCCTGTGTATTTTCACATTGAGGGCGCCATTTTGTTTGAAAAATGTGATAAATAAAAACAATTTTTTATCGAATTTTGTTGTGAAAACTATCTAAAATGAAAGAAAATGGTCTAACTAAGAAAATGAATTCGAACACCAATATCTTTTATTCAGTCGTTAACGCTGTACAGACGTTTAAAGTATTGTTTACGTGACGTCACAATGTAGCGCCAAACAGCACGTGCAAAACAATCAAATCAAGTACGCTATTTTAATGGCGCAAACGAGTTAAGTTTTACATTTATTTCACTTTTAATAATTTTTATTTCGCTTGAAAAATTATAGAGTGAAATAAAATAAACAAACAAAGTTTTATCAACGTTTCCAAAATTCGTTATTCTACACACAGAAGATTTAACGACAGTTTTTATATTTGTTCTTAAAAAGTAGTCCGGCAAACATGCATACCACGTGATCAAGTGCCGTAGATCAGTAAAAATATACGGCACCTTGTTATCGGGCCGAAATTGAAACAAGTGACAGGATAAACACTGCTATTCGTCCAATAAAGTTGTGTAGCTTGTATATGTGTCCTTTTTGCCATCAGTATGATACTAAACAATGTACATGTATATTGATATTCTTTAATTCACATTACAAATTCTTAAGGAGAAACACACATCAAAATTGAGAAAATGAATTAAAATCAACAACGTATTTTTTTGTATTATATAAAAGCTACAAATACTTCGAGGATATATAATTTGATTTGACATGGTACTTTAAATTTAGGCACGAATGAAAACGACTATAGATCGAACAATATGGACTTGGGTTTGATTTTTGGAACAGAAAATAAAAATGAGCCGTGTCACGACAAAACCAACATAATGGGTTTGCGACCAGCATGGATCCAGACCAGCCTGCGCATCCGCGCAGTCTGATCAGGATCCATGCTGTTCGCTATCAGTTTCTCTACTTGCGGATGCGCAGGCTGGTCTGGATCCATGCTGGTCGCAAACCCATTATGTTGGTTTTGTCATGACACGGCTCAAATGATGCTATATGGGGTACATACGGATTTTGTGATCAGAGAAATGAAAACGATGAAAAGTTAATATGATTGGATCCATTTTATGAAATTAAATTTTAACATCACGTGGTGCAAATGCTGGAGGTTCATTGGTTACATTTTATAATGTGTGAAATTAAAAAATATATATATTACAAAGTGTTTATCATACATCATCACAGTATAATTATAGCTATATTTTTCTATATGCCGTAACTAAAGTAATAAACAGATAAATACTTCAACATTTTCTTCTATAATCTCCAAGATTAAAATTATATAATTAACTTCCGTACCTTCTTCTAGATCTTTGATCATATCTTCCGGAGCTTTGTGTGTTGCTCTTCTAGATTTATTTCCGTATTCCGTAGACGGACAAACAGAGTTCCGTTTTGGTTTTTTCTTTCCAAGACATGTTCCCATTCTTATTTTGATTTGAAGTAAGAATAGAATAATATAATGCTAGCTGGGTTATTTGCTTGTCAGAGACGAAAGTAAACAGTGACGTTCTGTTCATAGAAACGACGTTGAATATGACGTCACTAACGACGCCTGAAAACACGTCACAATTCATCTACTTTTTTGTTGATTTTTTCTTTCTTTTTTATTGGAATACTTGTTTCTAACCAGTCAAACGTCAAATAATTTTATGGAGATTTTCCTAATGATATGATTGTCAATATGTACTTTTTACTTTATCATCTTTTAAACGGATGACTGAGCTTCACTTATCCTGCCGATCTGCTGACTGAAGCCGATGGGAATAGACCTACAAGGTACGGTCGGGGAAGAATTCTAGGAACAGACGGCTTAAAAAAACATGCCGTTAGCTAGCGTAGGCCTAATGTCCAGCCCTTGTCATGTTCTTAATCTCTCAAGTTTTGGCTAATACTCTGTGGAAGTTAAACGGAGGTAGCCTAAATCATCACCATATTGTGCTACACATTTAACCCTTAAAGGGCATTATACAATGTACTCCAATATGAAACCTATCTACAAAAATGGCCTTTTTTGTTTCCGTGACGAAATTTCGAATGTCCTGGGACTGGATAGTTTTTCCTACAAAGTTACCTCCCTTTTATGCATTGCAATACTTTTTTCATGTTGAGTTACTCCCCTTTGTTTCCTTACTCCATTTGTATTATGTAATTGGAGCGTGCATCACGTGTAAGTTTGAATTTTTATCTTTATTTATAATAATTAAGTGTAGTTTTATGAAATGTCTTTATTTTTTTAAGTTTCTACTATATATGTATGTCATCTTTTGAATGTAGGTACAAAACAGAAATTCCAACAGTTCAATCGCTGCCACATTCAACGTAGGCCTACATATGCACTGATAAAGATTAAATTACTAAATTAGATCTAGATCTACACATGTAGAATCAAGTGTACAGTACATTGATATAGAGTCTAACATCTAATAATGACGGGCTTTGTTTTTTACTTTCGGTTTAATTTCTAGAATATCATTTTACAAATTACATGCAATCTGATACCATTGACATGTAGATCTGTAGGACGTTTAAGGTAATTTCCTATTTTCGGTTTGGAAGAGTTGATAAGAACATACTGTAACTTTTGTTAAGGTAATAAGTTGTATTGTATATACTTTTAACTTTAGTTCACCTATTTCAGTAAGTATTTCAAATCTTCAACTGAGTATTTTTAACCATGATGTTTCAAAATTTAAATAGGAAATTAATAACTAGGAAGCTAGATTGTCTTCAAAATAAATATAAACTACTAATCCACCAGGGACTTTGCCAAGGTAAAAGCCAAAGGCCTAAGGCATAAATTTGGAAAAATTAATTCGTATTTTGGGAAATTTTAAAGTTGAAAATCTACCATATACAAAACTTTCAAAAAACATCAGTACATGGGTATGTTCATTAAAACCTGAAGCTATTTTGGATTGGGAATTGGGCATTATTTTGGCCCCTGGTAATAGGGCGAAAATTCCCTGTCCACGCAGTTAAATTTTTAGTTTTTGGTCACCCACTATATAAATTTTTGTATACATGTCAGGTCAGTCTAGTCAGTCTAAATTCTTCTCCATTGACTATGGCTACTAACCAAGGGGACTGTATCATTTACAAGATCCTTATAACAAATAGTAAATATTCACTGTTGATTTTTTCTACCGTTATGTTTTCTTAATATTTGTACTTTTTCAGACATACTGACTAGAACTTCACCATGGCAACTTCATCTGCCTCTGTTAGATGGCGAGTACAAGGAAATACTCACTTCTTCAGTGCGAGTACTACAAGTGTCCCTGTTGTACAGAAGGGAAGGTACCAGAAAGCCCTCGCATGCTACGAGAGTGCTCATTCAGTAGGATCTTGTGATGAAGATATTTCCTCCGCTGCTAAAAACGTGGGAGTTACAGCATGGAAAATGGCAAAACTGGCTGTTGATACAGGTACATGTGTATATGAATTTTAAAAAAAAAATGAATTCAATAGGGAACGATCTGAGATAAGCATCGAATACGTCACTGATAAAAGACCTGTTCTAAAAATAGCCACATATCGATAACTTTCGGACAAGGAAACTGGTTAATCTACATGTAGATTATACAACATGTAATGGTTACGAATACTTTTATTCACATTTCTCTCAATGGAAATGATGTTCCTGGAGTTAAACTTGCGTAAAGCATGATTGAGATGGTTTAAAACTATCAGGAAAATAAAGATGATACTGTATAGTGAAAAAGAAATAACTTTCGGGGCAATACTTTCCCTGCATGTCAATCTGAGAAAAATGCCGGTGGTTGGCAATTTGTTTTTGTTTCACTGTATATCAAAATTAGAAATGGTGATATGATATTGTATGATTTTATGAAATTGGGACTAAAAATGAAAGTGTATCTTTCTGTCCAAGATAAACCGTACAAAATTTTGTTTCTATTCAATGGCTACGAGTAATAGATTAATGATTAATATCTTAATTCTTTAATAATTTTAGAATAAGCAAAACTCTGCATTTTTCCTATTTTTCCTAATAAACAAGCCCTCTACTGCCGATGCCAATTCTAGTATTTATTTTATCAGAAATAATGTATACGTACATGCATGCTTGCATGTATATTTAAACTGAATTGACAATTGAGGTCCGTGATTTAACATACACTGTTTACGTATATACAATAAAATACATTTGTTTTTTATTTTATGTCTCGCACAAAATGTTTGTTGTTAAAATCATCGCCAATTACTGGTGCATTTTTTAAACTTCGCCTCATCAATCAAAAGAGTCAAACTTTTTTTCTGCCTGAATGAAAAATTGTTTATGACAAAAACCGTTTTATTGACAAATATAGAGGCCAGAGCAGATTGTGACATATGTTTAAATTTAACTTTAAAAAAGTACAGTGTGTAGTTGTCCCTTTTCTTTTCACACTAAATTCCATTTCCAACTTGTTTGCATTCTACAATTTCTTTAAATATTGCACGTAAACAAAGTAAATATACGCTGATTAACATCATATATAATGTGTACTCCCTAATCCCTTGTCCGAAAGTCAGTACAGGTGATGTAGTGGTGATTAGGTTAAATCTATTTTTAGAACAGTGTTACCTTCAGATCGAAGGCTATTCATTACTGTTTCATATAATTTGTAAGATTTTTGGATGTACTATTTGCTGTAGGGTTAGACCTCAATTCTTTATGCAAAATTTCAGATCATTCGCACACTTCTTTTTTCCAAAATAATAATTCAAATTGTAAAAAAATGACCCAAAATAAAAAGCGTTTAAACGCTTTTCACTCAGATCGGGCTACGAACAGCATAAAAGTACGATTTTCAATTTATTTCAAAGTATATTTCTCAACTATCTTTGCATACATTTCTGTTTAAAGTTCCCCAGTTCATTTATGTAAGAATTCTAATATTATATTTTTAGGCTTTTAAACCTCAGTGGAGTCCCTTTAAAGTTTTAATCATGAACTATTGTTTTGTAAGAAACAGTTATTTTACATTTTGCAGGAGACAAGTGGCCAGTGATTAAGATATATTTGAAGCAGTCATTAAAGTATTTCAACCATGCCTTCCGGAAAGGTAAAAGTTGCGGGAAATCAAATAAATGGCTTGACAATATCATCGCTCAATGCAGGTAAATCATTTTGTCCTTCTGTTCTTGAAGTCAGGACCAAGTACTATGCAAACTGTTGGCTGTACTTTAGATCTGTTATTTCTGTAAACATCTTTTTGATATTTCCTGTAACCATGTTGTTGATATATTCCTCTGACTTTGAAACATTTGACCTCTATTGCCTTGGTTTTGTATTTCCATGACATAGTTGATGTGATGTGTCCATCTTAGACATGGAATTTTATTATGGAGGGAATCTTATTTGCTAGCATAGGGAAGGCTTTGTGTAGCATTCAGGACTAAATTAACCAGTGTACAACTTATCCACATTCATGGGATACCCATAGTTGATTAACCATGATTAATATATAGTTGGATAAAAGTTCATTGCTGGGCAGTTGGGTGATATTCTGGCTACCTAGCCACTGCCTTGAAAATTATGCATGAAGTTACACTTAAGGCAATCCTCATTATCTATGAAAGCTTGAAATTTACTACATGACCCTGTGCAGATATCACTTTAGACACATCCAAAAGTGATATTCATGTGGGAAAACAAAGATTTAAAAAATATTTGTTAGTGTTTCAAATCATTATATTGCTTATTGCTTGTATACATGAAAAGAGCTTTTACTCATATGCTATTTCAACTGCAAGGTTCTTACGATTTTCCCAAAGTTTGTCTATAATATTAATCATTGGTTGTATGTAAAAATCTCCTTTTCTCACAGGTTGATAAACAATAATAAATAATGAAATCCATTATTTAAGATGGTTTACTTACAGGGGTTGTTGGGAAGAAATAGGAAATGCAACAGAATCTTTGAAGGAGACTGATGAAGAAGATCGTATTGTAACAATAAGGGAATGTATTGATTTTATACCGACCACTGACATGAAAGCTGAATGTTTCTTGGCCATTGCGGGTATGTGTTAAGTAATAGAAAGAGCACCGAAACACGAGGCTATCTGATTTGTACGAGGGGGTGTAGCCCCCGAGTATAAATCAGATTGCCGAGTGTTTTGGTGTTCTTTCTCTTTTGTATCATAGTCAAACATGACAGCATGTTCCCTGTTGTCATAATACGAAACCCCAGAAAAAAATGAACCAATGAACGAGCATTTGAATATGACATTTCTGCCCCTTTCCCTTTCTCTGCCGTCACAATATGTAAACCCCAGCAAAAATGAACCAATCAACTGGCATTATCTGGAGTGCGGGTAACTGATACCTGCACTCCAGTTACCGCACTGTGCATGTATATGTATAAGATTTAACTCTGACGCATTTTCAACAGAAAGGTCCCCAAACTATGATACAACTTCATTTAATTTGCATGCAATGGATATAATGAGCATGAATAATTTATGCATGTGTTTGAATAATATATTATATTCAGAGGTACATAATACTTTAAAAAGTTTCAATCAAGTGAATTGTGAGTTGTATCATATGGGATTAGAAGTCAGTCACTTGCAGACCAATTATTTGGTTAGATGGACTGATGACCGAGATATGACAAAAAAAAGTGTTAAAAATCAGCATAAAATATCAAGATAAACAAACAAATAATATGGCTCGCCATTATTGAGAGGCAAACATAGCTTAATGAATTTTTTTTTAAACTTTTTTTTACATTAACCAATAGGTGTCCTTGGCAGAGTAGGTGGTTGTTGACTTCAAGCCACTTGCCCCTCACTGCTGTGGGTTTGATCCTGCCAGGGACTTTAGGTTCTATTATGTGAGGAAGTTATTATCCCCCTCCGATGGAATCGGGAGGGGGATATAGATTTGGCGTTGTCTGTACGTTCGTCCGTCCGTCCATCCGCACTCACAGGACAGTAATTATGTGGCTAGAGGGACAATAGGTAACTGTTCTTTCTCTTTGATGTCATTCATTCCGTAATGCTTTTATGTGGCTATTTTCTTTTGCGTGGCTAAAAAGAACAATAGAGAGAACAATAGAGTAGCCACATAATTACTCTCCTGTTAGAACGTCCGTCCGTCCGAATTTCGTTTCCGGAGTAGTTCTCTGCAACTAATGGCTGAAATCCAACGAAACTTTATGGAAATGTTGAACAGCATGTGAAGTTGTGCACCTGGGTATTTTCGTCTGGATATTTTTAGTATTTTTAGAGTTATTGCCCTTGACTTGGTAAAATTTTGTAATTTACAACTTGTGTCGCATGTAACTCAAAAAGTATTTGACCTAGAGTCATTAAACTTTACAGGAATGTTGATCCGTATGTGTAGTTGTGCACCTGGGTATTTTCGTCTGGATATTTTTAGTATTTTTAGAGTTTTTGCCCTTGACTTAGTAAAATTTTGTAATTTTCAACTTGTGTCGCATGTAACTCAAAAAGTATTTGACCTAGAGTCATGAAAATTTACAGGAATGTTGATCAGCATGTGTAGTTGTGCACCTGGGTATTTTCGTCTGGATATTTTTAGTATTTTTAGAGTTATTATCCTTGACTTAGTAAAATTTTGCAATTTTCAACTTGTGTCACATGTAACTCAAAAAGTATTTGACACACAGCAACCAAACTTTACAGGAATGATCCTAGGGTGGTCCCCTGCCAAAGTTGATCAAATGGTTCAGGTCTGTTGCATAAGTAGGTCACAGGGCCAGAAAAGGAGTTTCAAAAATGCAAAATTAAAAAATCTTGTCTGAAAGTACAAGGCCTAGAGCTTTGATATTTGGTATATGATATAACCTATAGGTCCTCTACCAAAATTGTTCAAATTTTAGCCCTGGGGTCAAAATTGGCCCCACTCCAGGGGGTCATAGATTTTCCTTATATGTATATAGTGAAAACTTAAAAATTCTTCTTGTTTGAAGGTACAAGGCTTCAAGTTCAAAGAATATTACAGTTTATGCCATGATTAATATATAAATAAAGCCTTATGTCTTCAGTTGTTGTGTTAATAATAACCAGTACTCGGCGGGGGATATAAATTCAACGAATTTGCTTGTTCAGATAGCTTACAAAATGTCAGTGGTTCTACTCATGTGCTGTTGTGCCTGAAATAATGAGAGAATGGGGCATCTGAGTTCTTCCTCCATCAGTAAAGCTGGAAGATCACCATAATGACCTTTAACAGTGTTGATCTGACTTAAAATCCAACAAAATAAACAAACCAGCAGATCATCATTACTTACATGAACTAAACTGGCTTTCTTATAAGAACCACCTAAACTGAAAAAGAAATTTGTTGACAAATGGTTCAATTTACATGGATGCATGGGTAGGTGGAAAGGGAAATGGCATAAGAATTAAAGATATTAGATTTTAATGACCTTTTCACATCAGTTAAATTAAATGAATGGGTCTTTAATAAACTTTATTTGGACTGGCCGAGGATAGTTATTTTTGCATGAATGTTTTACTATGATTTGTCATGTTAAACTTTTATTCTGGTGACACCTGGCCTCATGGCCATCTTTTTTCTACAAACTACTTTCACCTTAAATATATCATCGAAAATACCAGAGACAATCAACTTCAACCCCTGGCATATGAAATTTATTAAATATTTTTTCATCATTTTGGGAAGTTGAGAAAAGTTTTTAAAAATTGAAAAACTGCCTCGTACATGACTTGTAAATTTTTAACATTTGTATAACCTGTCACTTTTTAAGAAACATGTGAAAACATTTCAATGTTTTCACAGAAGTTGACACAATTTGATATTTTTGAGCTGCTGTTGGGGATTTCTTTTTTTCAAATTTGAGAAAAAGGGACTATTTTGGATTTGAAACTGGGCCTTAATTAAGCACCTGGTGATATGGTGAAAGTGTCCTGTATATGCCTGAGAACTCTGATTTCAGTATATGATTAAATGCCTATTTTATAACAATGATTTATGCTTAATATATACATGGATACTTATTATGTGTTTTCCCTACCACAGAGTTTCATTTTCACGATGGGGTAAAGGCTGTGGCCTTAGGAGATTACAAGAAATGCTTGTGTAGCATGCATGATTGTTTCTTCCCACTGGCGGAGGCACTAAAATATGGCCAGGGTGAGGAGAGAATTCGGAAAGAACATTCTGTACTGGAAACAGATGTTATGCTTAACAGAGCATTGGCAGAGTCAATGCAATCCAGACAAACAGGTGAGAATGACTTATTTATTTCTGCTGTATAAAGTTGATTCGATAATTAGTTGAATTTTTTTAAGGATTCAATACACTCATAAGAAGTTTGAAACCTATACTGGACAAGGAACTAGATGAGGTACAAGCCTCCTTCAATATATGTTTTATAACTGAGTACTGATTCTGTTAGACATTAACATAGATTTAGGAGGCACTGTTAAACAGGCAAACAGGTACCGGTAAGAATATTTGAAACACTACCAATATTTGTGTTTCGCTGCCAGATCCCTGTTAGTTTTTGCTCAAAAGAGCACAATAATATGCTTCACATATACTGTTTCAGAGGACATTTCCGTGCGTCTAAAAGTTAGAGAATTTAATATTCTAGAAATTTTGCATGAGAAATACTAGTAAACCATGTAAGGGTAGAATTACATAACATTTTGTTGATATTTAGGCTAGAGAAAGTTCACTTTGTCAATTCACAAAATTCGCCAATATTTCCGCGTCGCTAACTTAACCACTCATACAGTAATTGAATATCATAGATAACGTAAGAAAATAATTATATCTCATTTTTTTCCGCTGTTTAAGTGAATATATAGTTGAATATCTTAAAATATTTTGAGGTTATTATAAATTGTCAATAAATGCTTAATTCAGGGTTTTCATGTTTTCTGATATTTTTGACTTGCACCTATAAGATTATTGCATAATATTATATGCTTTGTGTATTTAAAGGTGATGTGTTATTAGAAAAAGTTCTAAAGGATGAGGAAATGTTGAACATTGACATGGTTTGGGAGATCATTGACTGGTACAAGAATGCTATTCTAAGGGTATGACATCATGGCTATTTTTAAACATTTACAAATTCATAGACTGTATACTTTGCCGAATTTGTGCAATGGACATTTGTCCTGCTTTGAATTTGGAATGATAATATGTTGTATGACATCAGATATGACATCATTATACCAATTTGATGATGTCAGGAAAGTTACTTGTGTGCTGAATGTAATTCAATAAGCCTATTTCCATTGTTTTCTTCTCTGTTATAATATATGCATTATAAAAGAATGTTAAAGGGACTCCACTGAACAATTTTAACAAGCAAGACTGGAAATACTTTTCTTTGATCTGTATATCTTTTGAAGAATGTCTGGACCAAGAACTTTTGTGTCAATTTTCAGATCATTTCCCGAACTCGTTTTTTAGAGTCATCAGTTTTACTGTGCGAAATGACCCTAAAAGGAAAAGCGTTGTAATGCTTTTCATGCAAAATGGGCTAAGAATCGCATAATAATCGATTTTCAATTGGATTCTTAGCATATTTCTCTATTACTCTTTATAAAATTTTCCATGTTTAGGAGTTTCACTTGATCTATGTAAGAATTTCAAATTTTATTTGACCTCCTTTAATACTATTGTTTATTATCTAGATGATATGTGATTCTTCACAGAAACCTATTGCCTTCATAATTTTATTTTCTATCAAATTAACTTGGAACAATGCAACATTATATGCACACAAAGTTAATATCTATTTCTTAACTAAAAGATTTTGTGAGTACATGTATGTGTTAATGAATTAATATAATTTTATTGTCAACACATTTTTTTTTCAAAAAGTATACACATACATTTTATATAAATATATATTTGAATCTTCAATCTGTATTCAGGCACGGGATGTAGATATGAAACAGGAGGCCATGGCACTCTACAAGATTGGCTTGGTTTATGATAAAGTATTCAAAGTGAAATTCCGAGCAAAAACTTACTTGAAGAAAGCTCTGGAGCTTGCTCAGTCTATGACCCCTCGAAATTTTACCACAGAAGGTTAGTTAACAATACTTTGTTTTGTAAATTGGATACCGACAATCTGTAATGGTTGTTTTGTTTTTTTCATTGGTTTTATGAAAATTACATAACAGAAGTTACTTTATTTGCCATAAGCCTTACAGTCCTTACTGGTTCTTTCATACGGGTTTCTCTTGTAATTTTCATAGTATGTAAGAATGTACTATTTTTATTTACATTTTACAGGCACCACTGAACACCTCTTACAGATTTGTGATGGTTTTACTCTGGTGCTGCCAGCTCTTGCCTGAAATAATGCATAAAAGGGTTCCTCAGGCCATCCTCCATTAGTATAAGTGAAAAGTTACCATATGACCTTGACATTGTCAATGTTACTTTTCTGTATAATTTAATAAGAATTGCATTTGAGTGAGCTGGCTAAAATGGAAAGCTAAGATAAAAATTGTAGAATAATGTTTAAACAAGTTAAACTTTGTCTTAAGATGTCTTTTTATATGATAAGTCTACTTAATTCTGGGCTCTCAATTATCTTGAAGATTTTCCTGTTGTGTCAAATAAATAAACGACACTCATAAGCTTTTTTAGCTTTCTGCCCAGTCCCAAAATGTATTGTGGAAATATTGTTCATCATTCATCATGCAAAATGTAAATATATCAAATGAATTTGTTTTAATAAAACAATAAAAGTGTTTATAAGTAACAGTCAATTTCTTGGAAGGAACAAAGAATAAAATTATTTCTATTTTCTATGTTAGAATGGTTCAAAGATTGTACTTCCATCCTTGAGAGGTACCAGCAGGAAACAGTTCAGTATGAGCAAGAAAAAGACAACAAACTCAAGGAAGAAGCCAGGAAAAAGCTTAAACCGGAGATTGATGAACTGGACAAGCACGAAACTGACACCGTCTTAGAATTCCTTCGATTCGTGTACAAGAAGTATCCACGAAAGAATGCTGCTCACAAACTTGATGTGACAGATGATACGAAGCAATTGGAATTTGACCAGAGGTATAAATTACTTCAGAAAGCTGTCATACATTTTCATCCTGACAGAGTAGTGGCGGAGGAAGAGGGACTAGAGGCGAAGCTGTTGAGTGAAGAGATTACAAAACGTTTAACAAAGAGATACGAGAACATAAAATCTCAGAAGTGAAGGAAGCAAAAAAGGGTTGTCACAAAGCATTTTGGAATAGGATCAGAATGTTCATTGAAACTGTATATTATATCTTTATAAAGAATTGGACAAAAATATTCATAACATCTTATATTTTTAAACTGGAAAGAAATAGCAGACTTTTAATGATAAAGATTCGAGAAAGATACTGTGTGGAGATGAAACTCAAATTTTAGTAGTAAATGTAAGAAAGGTTGTGCTTGAGATTTGATTGAGCTTCATTTCATTTTATACCAATAATACTCATATTGAGTCACTTTTTTCACTGAAAAGAAATGTGCAAGTTGACTGATTTAGATTTGAGAAAGAAACTTGGTGAAATGGAAACTCAGGAATAAAGACATACTTTTCAGAAATCTTTTCAAGAGATTGTTACATATTGATATGTTTTACTTTTTTTTTTTTTTTCTAGCATGTAGTGGTTAGTGTTCAATATCCTCAGTACATTTGCATTTAACAGTATGAATATAGGTACAATCTTGTTCACATACATGTACATCACATGTTTTATTTTTAGCTTGTCTGTTTTGAAGAGTAAAAGTCCAGCTATAATGATCACTTTGAAGGTCGTTCAAAAACTTTATTGAAACTTGGAATGCTTCCTTATCATAACAATATGCAGTTGTTAGACAAGTGGCATTATTCTGAAAGCAATATTTTTGGAGTTATGTCCCTTTTTAGTCCCCTACCGGTTTACCGGAGGGGACTTTAGGTTTACCGTCCGTCTGTCTGTCCGTCCGTCCACAAAACTGGATCCCGCGATAACTTGAAAAGTACTGAAAATATTTTTATGAAACTTGGTATATCGATAGATGGCAGTATGGAGATTATGCACGTCTTTTTCTTTTCTTCCTATGTTGAAAATTCTGGTTGCTATGGCAACAAAAAGGCTGAAAATATGGCAAATTTTACACATAAACTGGATCCAGTGATAACACAAAAAGTACAAGAAATATTTTTATGAAACTTGATATATGGATAGAAGGCAGTATGGAGATTATGCACGTCTTTTTCTTTTCTTCCTATGTTGAAAATTCTGGTTGCTATGGCAACAGATAGACTGAAAGTATGGTCAATTTTACACATAAACTGAATCCAGTGATAACTCAAAAAGTACTGGAAATATTTTTATGAAACTCAAAAAGTACTGGAAATATTTTTATGAAACTTGACATATGGGTAGATGGCAGTCTTGAGATTATGCATGTCTTATCTGTTCTTCCTATTTTGAAAAATATTGGTTGCCTTGGCAACAAATAGGCTTAAAACTTGGCAAATATAACAATATTTGTGATTAGTCAAAAAGAGCTGGAAAAATTTATGAAATTGCATCTTTAATTCAAGAGTTATCTCCTCTTTAAGAATTTTGCTTTTAAAATGTTATATTTTGGTAACAGGGATGTTTCAAATATTAACTTTAGAGTGTCCTTCAATCCGTCTGTCTGTCTGTTCATAAAAACTGTTTCTTTTTATCACTTTAAAAGAACTTTTCCAACAAATTTACTTAAAATAGAGAAAAATTGAAACATTAGTGAATGGCCAATGGCCCTTTAGAATGTTGATGGGGGTTCTAACCGGTAGGGGACTTATGCATTGCTTGCAATACTATGATAATTGCTTGTTTACTTTAGACGAGCACTGACACATCATAAAGTGCTCTTGTTTAGTTTCTATTTTTACAGTTAACTGAAAGTCATTTTATGTTTGGGTTATCTGAAATAATGTGTTTTAAAAATGGCAAAAAGATATTGAATTAGAATAAGCAGCATCCCTTTAAGCATTTAGGGTCACCCAATTTACTACACGTTGTATCCCATTTAGTATCATTCCTCTATGCATGGGACAAAGAGCTTAGATATTGGGTATGAGGCAATTAGTAATCGACCTTGACCAAACATAACATAAATAATGGCCCTGGGGTCTGTCCATTCCAATGCAGAAACTTCTGTTACTTAGTCTCCTACTAAAAAAGATGAAAATTTAAAGTGTTCTTTACTGAAACTAAAAACGCATTGAACCTGTGTAAGATATTTGATTAGTAGAGGAAGAATTATCAAGTAGGATACTACAAAAGGTATATAAATCATGGCACAAGAGTCCAAAATTGTAGTTACCATGGAAACTTTTTCTTTGTCTCCACTTTTCCATTAAAACCGATGATCACCTAAGGCATACATGGAACAGTTGTTGGAAAAATGTTCTTCACTAGATTGTATAGGCATATTTTATGACTATGTTCTTAATCGCAAACATTTTCTCCTGTGTTTTGAATCCCCCAGGCTTCACCACATATATTTCTTTTAAAATCTAGTCAAAAACTCTTGATTGGTTGATTTCCTTTAATAATTATGAATCGACCAATGGTTGCTCTTATTTTATGTTTGTTTTCTTATGATCTACATTGTAAATACTGTTCTTTTTATATTTTGTTATTTAGTTGTGTTTCTCTATATTTTATCGCTTTTAATTGTTTCATTTATGTTTTGTTTGCATATACTTCATAATTAGTAATAGACTAATAGTTATGTTAAAATTTGATAATGCTCTTAAAAATCTTGTACATGTATGTGCTATAAATACATAATTTTATGATGATACATACTCCCTAGCATTTATTCAGTTTTCCTTTTTTCCCATTTTTAGCTCACCTGTCACAAAGTGACAGGGTGAGCTTTTGTGATCGCTTTTCGTCCGGCGTCCGTCCGTCCGTAAACTTTTGCTTCAAATGACATCTCCTCATAAACCACTAAGCCAATTTCATCCAAACTTCACAGGAATGTTCCTTTGGTGGTCACCTTTAAAAATTGTTCAAAGAATTTAATTCCATGCAGAACTCTGGTTGCCATGGCAACGGAAAGAAAAAACTTTAAATATCTTCTTTTAAAGAACCCAAAAAGCTAGAGCTTAGATATTTGGCATGAAACATCTTCTAATGAGTGTCTACCAAGTTTGTTCAAATAAAAGCCCTGGAGTCAAAATTGGCCCCGCCCCGGGGGTCATTGATTTTCCTTATATGTGTATAGCAAAAACTTAAAAAACCTTCTTTGAAAAAATCCCAAATAGCTAGAGTTAAGATATTAAGCATGAAACATCTTCTAGTAAGTGTCTACAAAGTTTGTTCAAATTAAAGCCCTGGGGTCAAAATTGGCCCCGCCCCGGGGGTCATTGAATTCCTTATATGTGTATAGCAAAAACTTAAAAAATCTTCTTTGAAAAAACCAAATTAGCTAGAGTTTAAATAATAAGCAATATGAAACATCTTCTAATAAGTGTCTACAAAGTTTGTTCAAATAAAAGCCCTGGGATCAAAACTGCCCCCGCCCCAGGGGTGTCATTGTTTTTAACTATATGTGTATAGTAAAAACTTAAAAAATCTTCTTTTAAAAAACCCAATGAGCTAGAGCTTAGATGTTTAGCATGAAACATCTTCTTATGGGTGTCTACCAATTTTGTTCAAATAAAAGCCCTTGGGTTAAAATTAACTCTGCGGGGGGGGGGGGGGGGGGGGGGAGAAGGTCATTGTTTTTCCTTATATGTGTATAGCAAAAAACTTAACATCATGAAACATCTTCTAATGGGTGTCTTAATTCCAAGTTTGTTCAAATAAAAGCGCTGGGGTTTAAACTGGCCGCTTCGGGGGCCTATATACAGGTGAGCGACCTCAGGGCCATCATGGCCCTCTTGTTTAAAGATCTCCCAAGTTTTCCTTCTTTTTTCATAAACATAAAAAAATATAGGTCCAGTTCAAATGTGGCTTCAGACAACTTATTTTTCAAATAGTTAAAGTGGCGGGTGTGAACAGGGGTCTTTCAAATTCTATTTGAAAGACCCTGGTGTTAATCACCTTAAGTGATAGTTCTAGTTAACTTTGGTAATACTAAAAACTTTGAAATAAAAACAATCACGGGTATAGGTAAAGAGATAATAGTTTAATTTTGTTTTCAATTTAAATATTTTCACATCAACTTTATTAATAGATTAAACAATTTATTATTTTATCCCTTGCCCAGACTTAGAGTAAACCTTAAATCATGTGTCTATACAGAGTTATCTTATATTGTTATAGTACTGTAGTATAAAACTGTTCATTTTTTACATCTTAAATGGTGCTTATGTGTATATATCATTAAAAATCAGTCAATAACATTTTGTTGTTTTCCTTTCTTTGGTTTGAGTGAAATGAACAATTAAACATGACTAATATCCATGCATAACAGAGTTCTATTTCAAATTATAAATTCGTATTTTATATTTGTGTTATTACATTAACGATTTTTAAAGAAGGGGCTATTGTATAAGTTCTTGGCATCAAATGCCGAATGTGTAAGGTCGCTGACTTAAAACTACTTTACATTCACTGCACCGCTGAGGATTTGAATCCTGCCAGGCACTTCGGATTCTTTCTTGTGAGGAATCTGGCCAGCTAGCTTACGGAAGGTCTGTGGTTATTCTCCAGTACAATTTATGTCTGTATTAATGGAGTTTAGCCGGAGTTCTTCCTCTAAGACTAAAGCTAGAAAGTCACCTTATGAACTTAATAGTGTTGGTATGATTTAAAACCCAAACTGCAAAAGAATAATGCGAGGGGTTTGGCCGAAGGTTGTAAATCGATTTCTGAATTATTTTGCCAATGCCGAGGATCCAAGTACTGACTTATTTTTTTTGCAATTTTAGGAAAACATCCGGCTGGTTTAAGAAAAGTCGATATTCCCATGTGCTTGCAAGTGCAAGAAGTAATATATTTAAAGAGTGCTGGAATGCATGGTTATGAAATATCACAGACAAGTGCTAATTATTTTACAAAATTGGCACAAATATTTGTTCTAGGGAACAGACATACTTTTTCCTCGTTTGTGGTTTTAAGTTTCTTTACACACCTGTTATGATGATTCCTGCAAGATATGATTATTTCCCATCTCATATATGTGCTAATAAAATGAAACAAATCAGCACAAGTAAGTTCTAAGTAACAATCAGATCCATTTCTCTGTTTCTGATTTAAAGTTTCCTTAACCCGTAAAGTATGAAGATTGCTGTAAAAAATGATTATTTCCCAGCACAAACATGTGCTAATGAAATGAAAAAAAATCAGCACAAGTAAGCTTTATGTAACAATCTCATCCATTTCCCTGTTTTTTATTTAAAGTTACCTATACCCATATATTATTAAGATTGCTGCAATGTATGATTATTATCCAGCACAGACATGTGCTTATTAAAAGAAACAAATTAGTAAGTTCTTGGTTATAATCTCATCCATTTCTCTGTTTTTTATTTAAAGTTTCCTATACCCGTATAGTATGAAGATTGTTGTAAAGTTTGATTGTTTCAAAGCACAAACATGTGCTTATAAATGTTAAAAATCAGCACAAGTAAGTTCTAGGTAACAAAGCCATCGATTTTCCCTTTTCTCAATTGCCTTACTTGTTCAGAATGGTGGTTGCTGTAAAGTATGATTATCTCCCAGCACAGACATGTGCTAATAAAATAAAACAAATCAACAGTTACAATCTCATCAATTTCCCTGTTTCTGATTTAAAGTAACCTATACCCGTTTGGTATGAAGATTGATGTAATGTATGATTATTTCCCAGCACAGACATGTGCTAATATAATGAAACAAATCAGCACAAGTAAGTTCTAGGTAACAATCTCATCCATTTATCTGTTTCTGATTTAAATTTTCCTATACCCGTAAACCGTCGTATGAAGATTGCTGTAAAGTATGATTTTACCCAGCACAGACATGTGCTAATAAAATAAAACAAATCAGCTGAAGTAAGTTCATGTAACGATCTCATCCATTTCCCTGTTTCTGATTTAAAGTTCCCTATACCGTATATTATGAAGATTGTTATAAAGTAAATAAATGATACAAATCACCACATTCCCACACTAATTTCTTTTCTCTTATGTCATCAACAATAACAAATGAAGAAGTATATATTGCTTAATATTTATATTATGCAATGAATGTAAAAGAGCTAAATACTTTATAATTATTTACAAATTCAATTCATTACATCTAGTTACAAATGCAATTGCAGTTAATCACTCTTTACTGTTT